GCCACCGATGCGTCATTTCGGCACACCCCTCTCGAAGATCGTGGCCCTGGCCCCACAGGGAGCTCCACCGAGGCATCATTTTGGCACACCCCTCTCGAGGATCGTGGCCCTGGCCCCACAGGGAGCCCAACCGAGGCTTCATTTCGGCACACCCCTCTCGAGGATCGTGGCCCTGGCCCCCACAGGGAGCTCCACCGAACTTTCATTTCGGCACACCCCTCTCGAAGATCGTGGCCCTGGCAACACAAGGAACTCCACCGAGGCCTCCCTCTCTCGAGGATCGTGGCCCTGGCCCCACAGGGAGTCCCACCGAGCCTTCATTTCGGCACACCCCTCTCGAGGATCGTGGCCCTGGCCCGACAGGGAGCCCCACCGAGGCTTCAGTTCGGCACACCCCTCTCGAGGATCGCGGCCCTGGCCCCACAGGGAGCCCCACCGAGGCTTCATTTCGGCACACCCCTCTCGAGGATCGTGGCCCTGGCCTCACAGGAAACCCCACCGAGCCTTCATTTCGGCACACCCCTCTCGAGGATCGTGGCCATGGCCACACAGGGAGCCCCACCGAGGCATCATTTCGGCACACCCCTCTCGAGGATCGTGGCCCTGGCCCCCACAGGGAGCTCCACCGAACTTTCATTTCGGCACACCCCTCTCGAAGATCGTGGCCCTGGCCCCACAAGGAACTCCACCGAGGCCTCCCTCTCTCGAGGATCGTGGCTCTCGCCCCACAGGAAGCCCCACCGAGGCTTAATTCCGGCCCACCCCTCTCGAGGATCGTGGCCCTGGCCCACAGGGAGCCCCACCGAGGCTTCATTTCCGCACACCCCTCTCGAAGATCGTGGCCCTGGCCCCACAGGGAGCCCAACCGCGGCTTCATTTCGGCACACCCCTCTCGAGGATCGGGGCCCCCCCCCCCCTCAGGAAGCCCACCGAGGCTTATTTCCAGGCCCATGCCCCTCTCGAGATAGTGGCCCTGGCCACATGGAGCCTCACCGAGGCTTCATTTCCGACACCCACTCTCGAATATCGTGGCCCTGGCCCCGGCAGGGAGCCCCACCGAGGCTTCATTTCGGCACACCCCTCTCGAGGATCGTGGCCCTGGCCCCACAGAGAGCCCCACCGAGGCTTCATTTCGGCACACCCCTCTCGAGGATCGTGGCCCTGGCCCCACAGGGAGCCCCACCGAGGCTTCATTTCGGCACACCCCTCTCGAGGATCGTGGCCCTGGCCCCACAGGGAGCCCCACCGAGGCATCATTTTGGCACACCCCTCTCGAGGATCGTGGCCCTGGCCCCACAGGGAGCCCCACCGAGGCTTCATGTCGGCACACCCCTCTCGAGGATCGTGGCTCTCGCCCCACAGGGAGCCCCACCGAGGCTTCACGGGAAACGGGAAACGTGGGGCCCCACGTTGCCCGTTTCCTGTTTCCCTCCCCCCCCCCCGGGGCCTCCAGGCAACGTCCTTACGAACAACAACAACAATAACAACAACAATAACAGCTCGCGCAGGACACTGCTACACAATGCGTTACGACATCGCACTCTCGCGCGGGACTTCCTCGCAATGTATGCGGGAATCGCGCTCTCGCGTGGGATTTCCTCGCAAATTATTCGTACGCCGCGCCCTGGACGTTCAGGAATCACACTCTCACTTTTGCCGCTCTCACGAGTTATTTGGGAATCGCGGTGTCGCTCGAGACCTCCTCGCGATTCATGCAGGACTCACGCTTCAGCATCCCTCCTGCTCGACCTGGCCGCTTGGGCCCGCCTTCTCGACCCGCCCGTTAGGGTCTACCCACCTAATCAGCCCGTCTGGTTCTGCCACTACTTTCTGTTAGTAGCCCCTTTCCTGGAGATTTCTCTCATGCTCAATCTTCGCCTTCCCCCTTCCATCCGTCCTCTCTTCCCCTACTTTAAGGGCTCCGCTAAATTCACCTGGCAGGCTACGAGGATTTGGCGTGGCCGTCGAGCGTTGGCGGCGGCGGCAGCGACGGCGGCGGCGTCCAAGGTGCCGCCGCCGCCGTCGGCGGCGTCGGCGGCACCGACGCTGGCGTCGGCGCCGGCGGCGTCGACGCCCTCGCGGCGTCGGCGGCGGCGTCGAAGCAGCTGGCGGCGTCTAGGACAACGTCGCTGGCATGGGCACGGGCATGGGCATCGGCATCGGTGGCGTCGTCGGCGTCGTCGGCGGCGCCGGCGCCAGCGTCGGCGCAGGCGTTGGCGGCATCGGTATCAGCGGCGGCGTCTGGGGCTGTCCTTCTCGGCCCCCACAAAACATGGCATTGGGCTCCAATGTCTTGATTAATCTCAGGAGGGCAAGAAACACACAGACACAATGAATCGTCGACTCCCCAGAAAAGATGGGAAAATATGGGAAGTGGGGGGAAGACAGAAACCCAGAAAATATATGAAAATATGGGGAATCTTTTTATTTGTGTGTATTTATTTGTGTGTCCTGGAGCCCCTTCATAATCAGGAACCACACGCTTCGGAGGCCCTGAGTCCTTCTTGTCCACGCCGCCCCGGACAGCCGCGTCCCTGGCGCTCCGGATCTCCAGGCGGTCGCCGGACGCCGCGGCGGCCGCCAGGCGCTCCAGCAGGACGGCGTGCTCCTCCGCCAGGGACCTCGTCCTCTTGGGCGTTGACGGCGGCGGCGGCGGCGACGATGGCGGCGACGGCGACGACGACGACGACGACAGGTGCTTGGACGTTGCTGGGGCATCTCGTCCCCACCAATTGGGCGGGACCCGAAGCTGGCCGGGACAGCCTCCATGTGGCCTCCGGAGACCTCCACGAAGGCCTCCGCGGGATCGTCGCCGTCGTCGACGTCGTACGGACGGGTGTGCCAGTTCCCCAAACCCGTCGTGGAAAACACCTTCTCGGGAGGGGTTGCCTCCTCCTCAGGGTAGATACGCAGGCCTGGGGGGGGGGTCGACGTGCTGCGGCGACACCGAATACCTAGGTAGACGCCTAGGCTCTGACCTGTTCTCAAAGAAGCTGCGCAAAGCGAACTCGAGGATATCGAGACGCCCAGGCGTGGTGATGGAAGGACATGATCGGGTAGGAAGGGGAAGAAGAGAAGCGGGAAGAGGATGAGGACGAGGGCATTGCCAAGGAGGAGAAAGATGAGGCGGAGTCCTCCTCCTCCTTAAAATTACCTGCTCCTCCTCCTGTCTCCCGTCTCCTGTCTTCGCCCCTCCTCTTTCGCATTACTCCTCCTCCATCCTCCCTCTTGCCTCTCTCTCTTTCTCTTTAAAATTCTCTGTCTCTCTCTCTCTCTCTCTCTCTCTTTCTCTCTCTCTCTCTCTCTCTCTCTCTCTCTCTTCTCTCTCCCTCTCTCTCTCTCTCTCTTTCTCTCTGCTATCCCCCACTCCATCCCACTCCTCCTATTCCTCCTTCTCCTCCTCCTCTTCCTCCTCCGCCTCCTCCTCCTCACATCCTCCGCCATCATTTCCTCTCCTACCTCCTCCTCCTCCTCCTCCTCATCTCCTCCTCGTCAATCAGCACATCAGCGGGGCAGCATGATCTTCCGCATCTCATGAGCAGATCAGCAGCATCATTCATTCATTCATTCCGCATCGAGCAGCATCAAGCAGTCATCATATCATCAGCGCACAGCATCATCATCAGCATCAGCACCCTTTCCCCTCCACCTCCTCCTTCTCCTCCTCCTCCTACCTCCCTTCTCCTCCTCCTCCATCCTCCCTCCTCCCTCCCTCTCCTCCTCCTGGGCCCTTCCTCCTCGCTCAACCCCCCTCCTCATTCGGACCTTTATCCTACCACTTCCCCCATCGCTCCTGCTCCGTCTTCCATCATCCATGCATCCCTCCTCTCCTTAATTCTTCGTTGGGCTCACTCCACATCCTGTCCCCTACCCTGTGTCCTTCCATCGTATGCCTGCTCAATTCACCTGGCTAGGGAGGACAATTCTTAAAGATCACCGACTTCCGCGACTTCGCCGCTCCAGGAATTCTGGAACTCTCATGCCCCCGCCATGAGATGCCACCCCCCCTAGTTCCATCTCGGGGGTGCGCTAACATGGATTCGCGATCCATGGATTTGGCGCGCCGTCGCCAAATCCATGGACCAGGGGAGGTGCCCTCCCCAAAATGCGGCCGGTGCCGCCTCGCTCGGCGGTGACAATCCGCGATTTCCCATGGAAGCGGGACCCGTCGCTAATCCACGCCCCCTTGATCCATGTTTGCGATCGCCTGATCATCACCCCCCTCTTTGCTGCCCAGCCGCCCCCCCCCTCTCCCCCCCTCCCCCCGCGAGGGGCGCCCGGTCCTCTGCCCCAGCAGGCGATCGAGCAGACGCTGGGCCAGCGCCGACTCCTCCCGGAGCCCCTCGCGCCCGCCCTCCTGCGCGCGGCGAGCGGAGGAAAGGGGGGAGCGAGGGAACTCAGCCTCCTCCTCCTCCTCCTCCTCCTCCTCCTCCTCCTCCCCCTCCTCCTCCTCCTTCCCTTTCCTCCTCCTCCTCCTGCTCCTCCTCCTCCTCCGCCTCCTCCTCCTCCACACACACACACCACCACCGCCACCACCACCACCACCGCCATCACGCACTTACGCACCTGGCCCACCACCAAACCACCAAGACGCCACACCACGTCACACCACAGCACACGCGCACACACGCACACACACATACACACCACCACCACAACAACCACAACCACGCACACACGCACGCACGCACGCACGCACGCGCACCACCACCCACTACGCACACGCGCGCGGAGCCACAGGTCCGCTACGACACGCGTCCGCGGATAGAGAAAATCAGCGCCATGGTAAGGGATGGGAGGGAGGTGTAGGATGTCAGATGTTGACGCGAGCGCACCTAATTGTCCTCCTCCGCCCTCCTCCTCCTCTCTCCTTTCCTCCTCTCCTCCCTCCTCCTCCTCCTTCCTCCTCCTGCTCCTCCTGCTCCTGCTCCTCCCTCCTCATCCTCCTCCTTCCTCATCCTCATCAACATCATCATCATCATCCAGAACATTACTAAAGTCGTCATCATCAACATCATCAGCATTCCCCTCCTCCTCCTCCTCCTCCTCCTCTTCCTCATCCTTATCCTCCTCCTCCTCCTCCTCCTCCTCCTCCAGCTCCTCCTCTTAGTTTTCCTCCTCTCGCCACCACCACCCCCACCACCATCATCATCCTCATCATCATAATCATCATCAGCATCATCACCAGCGTCATCATCATCAGCTGCATTGTGGGCGACGATCATGCATCATCATCATCATCATCCATCTCATCATCATCATCATCATCATCATCATCATCATCATCATCATCATCATCATCATCATCATCATCATCATCATCATCATCTTCGTCATCATCATCACCAGCATCAGCATCAGCATCATCATCACCATCATCATCATCATCATCAGCATCATCAGCATCATCATCATCATCAGCATCAGCATCATCATGAGTATTAGCATCATAATCATCATCAACATCATCATCATCATCAGCTGCATCATCAGCATCCTCATCATCATCATCATCATCATCATCATCATCATCATCATCATTATCAGCATCATCATCATCATCAGCATAATCATCATCAGCATCATCATCATCAGCAGCATCATCATCACCACCACCATCATCATCATCAGCATCAGCATCATCATCATCATCATCATCATCATCCTCATCAGCATCAGCATCAGCATCAGCATCAGCAACAGCATCAGCATCAGCATCAGCATCAGCATCATCATCATCACCATCATCATCATCATCATCATCATCATCATCATCATCATCAATATCATCATCCCCCTCCTCCTCCTCCTCCGCCTCCTCCGCCTCCTCCGCCCCCAAAAAGTCATCATTTCCCCTCTCTCGCTCCTCCTACCGCTGGCGGTCCAAGCGCTCGACACATCGGGTGCGAGCGCACTCCTCCAACACTCCAGCGCTATCCTCAGGCCGGGCGAAAGGGGGGGATAGCAAAGGAGGGGGTTGAGAATCAGCTCACGTAACTGATTTTCCCGGCGCCTCCCGGCGCCGGGGGCGGCTATGTATCGAGGAATGGGCCCCTCGGTGGGGCCGAAACCAGCTGCATGCAGCAAATTTCGTAACCCCCCCTTTCCCAATCCCCCCCTTTCGTCTGGCCCGATATCCTCAAGACCCGCACCCCCTCCAGTGGCAACTGCAACGACTAAATGCTTGAGCAATTGTCAGCCCAGGAGGCCAGGGCCTTAATTAGGCCCCGGCATCGGGGACGGAAAACCCAGCCCTGGGGAAGGAATCTAGACCTCTGGGGGTTCCCGTAGCGAAAGTGCACACGACGTCGGACGTCTAAAGAGGAGGAGGAGGAGGAAGATAAGGAGGAAGAGGAGGAAAAGGAGGAGGAGGAGGAGGAGGAGGAGGAGGAGGGGGGAAGAGGAGGAAAAGGGCGACGAGGAGCATGAGGAGCCGGAACGCTTGTCGAGAGCGGAATCAGCGCCGACTCCTCCCGGAATCTCACGCCGACACCCTCCTGCGCGCGCAATGATAAAGGGAAACGGCGAGAGAGAAAGGAGGTCCCGATCTCCGATGATGCGACCTGTTCAATCCAAACATTCTTCCTCGAGCATCAACTCCCAAAGCCTTTTTACGGGCAAGGACTCGGTTCGGCGGAGTCTCGGTTTGCCGGAGCTTGGTTCGCCCGGGTTCGGTTCGCCGGGGCTCGATTCGCCAGGTCTCGCTTCGCTGCGCACGCATGCAGGATCCAGGAGACGAGGAGGAGGAGGAGGAGGAGGAGGAGGAGGAGGAGGAGGAGGAGGACCACGAGGAGGAGGAGGAGGAGGACGAGGAGGAGGAGAGGAGGAGGAGGGGGAGCAAGCGGGCGGACCCTAACGGGCGGGTCGGGCTGGGCTGGCGGACCCGAAAGAGCGGGTCGAGTCGGGCGGGCGGGACACTGAAGTATGAGGCACCATCGAACTATGGCAGGCCCAGAGGTTGACACCAACACCAACATCGGCGTCGTGCCTCCACCGAGGGAAGAAGATCCCGATCTCGGTGATGGTGGTAATATTCTGGCTTCCAAGGTGACCGACGTATTACCACCAACACCGAAACCTAGGATCATCTCCTCCCTGTGGAGACAACCTCCTGTGTTGGAGTTGGTGCAAATTTCCAGGCCTCTCATAATGAGCGCGTCGAGTCAAGTGTGGACTCTAACGGGCGGGTGGGGTCGGATGGGCGGACCCTCACGGGCGGGTCGGGTCGGGTCGAGCTGGCGAGACATTATAGTATGACGCACCATCGAACTAGCACGCGCGAGCCCTAATGGGCGCGTCGGGTCGGATGCGGGCTCTGACGGGCGGGTCGGGTCGGGTGGGCGGACGCTCACGGGCGGGTCGGGTCGGGCGGGCGAGACATTTTATCGGCATGACGCACTATCGAACTAGCACGCGCGAGCCCTGATGGGCGCGTCGGGTCGGGCGGGCGGATCCTAACGGGCGGGTCGGGCCGGGTGGGCGGACCCGGGGCGGGCGGGCGGAGCTGGGCGAAGCGAGACCCGGGCGAACGCGAACTGAGCCTGGGCGAAGCGAGCTGGGCGATTCGACCCCTGGGCGAATCGAGCCGGGCAAATCGAGCCAGGCGAAGCGAGCCCAGGCGACTCGAGCCAGGAGGAAGGGAGCCAGGCGAAGCGAGCGTCGGGCGAACCGCGCCTGCGCCCCGTCGACGGGGCCCTGGGGGCCCCATAGAAAAGAAAGAGGCCAGGCCGAAGAACGCGCCCCATAGGGAAGGGGCCGGGACCTCTGCAGGGGGCGCGGATGGAAAAAACAGATCGGCGGATGTCAGGGGGAGGATGATGAACCCGAAAAAAGGACCCCTGAGCATTTGGGAGGGGCCCTAAATTAGGAGGGCCAAAAGCATTAGGGATAGGGGGTCTCCTCTGTTGATGTATCGAACCAAACCGCCCATACGTATGATCCCTAGTGCAAGGACGGGGACCTCAGTGAGGCCACGTCTTCACTGATGAAAGGAGGAGCGCTTGGCGGGAGCGAAGTGATCAAAATCCAAGAAATCCGCGCGAAGCCACGAACTCCTCGCGGAGCGCCAAGCGTTTGATGTCTATGGCGTTGTGTTCCTTCGAGCGATGGCCCCCCTGCTCCTTCCCACCCACCTGGCGATACTCGCAGCTGCGTTTGGCTGGGTATCCTTCGCCAAGATCCTGTGCTTAGATTCTTCTTCGAGCCACGGAGCGTCCCGTCCGAGAGCCGAGCGGTCGGGACCTTGAGGCCCGGCCAAAGTCTGCCGACGGCGCCCCCGTACCGGCAGGCGCGCGAGAGCTGGCGCGGGCGCGCGGGAGGCACGCGCCGCGGGCGCCGAGCGTGCTGGAGCCAGGACGCCGGGAACGGCGCAGGCAAAGCGGCTGCCCGGTGGCAGCCCTCACGGGAGCCTCCCCTGCCTGCTGGCTGGCTCTTACGAGTCGGTGCTCCTCGACGCTACATCGGCCCTCTCCCATCGATGACCAGAGGCTAGCGCACGCGAGCGCACTCGAACGATGGAGCTTCGAGTACAGCCAGGACTCCCGTGGCTTTTTGTGACGCCGAAAGACCGACTGACCGACTGACGCGCCCTGACAAGGCTGGAGCCCCGAGCTAGCCTAAAATCAGCTCAGATCCAGCTTCGGGGATCTTCTGGTCAGTCAGGCCTTGCAGGATCCTGCAAGATCCTTCGGGATCCTGCAGGATCCTGCGCCCCAGACCAGGGTCAATGCGCCCCTGATCCTGCAGGATCCTGCAAGATCCAGCGCCCTGGCTGACCCCCGTCTGCATTGACCCCCGTCTTTTGAGCTAGAGGAGTCCTAGATGGGGTCCGAGTAGATAGGGGTCGAAGGATCGCGCTGCATCGACGATACATCGGTGATACATCGCCGATGCATCGGTGATGCATCGGCGACGTCGGCGATGCATCGGCGCCGTCGGCGTCAGCATGGGAAAACACGGGCTCAACATCGAGCCGCCTTGTCGATGCGTCGGCGATGCGGCGCGATCCGCCGACCTCATCTGATCGGACCCCATTTCTGGGGAGACCAAAAAGTAAACATACCGCTACTCCCCGGACCTATCCCGGGGTGCGTTCTGACCAGGATTTCGAGGCGAATCCAGCCGTGGCGACGAGGGCCTCACACGAGGCCGAAAAACGGGAAAACGGGCGAGGGGGTAGAGGTATGGGTACCTTTTCCTCCTCTGAATTTCGGAGGCCTGGATGAACCCCGACCACAGGCCCGTGCGTCCCTTGCCGGGCACCGAGCGTCCATCCGCGACAGCACGTCTCCTGCGGAGGCCCCGCGGTCTCGGGGTCCCGGCGCGGGTGGCCCGAGGGCTGAACCTCGCGAAGACAAG